TTTACACTAATTGTGTAATGTAATTTAGAACTGTCCCACAAAGTCAGTAGTTCTAATTCAAATGTGCATTTTATGGAAGATCTCCAGTGTGTACAGAAAGTGAATTACCATACCCAGATCGTGACTCCACATGTCAGATTATTTAGAGTCTATGCCACACCAACAATGTGATAATGTTGCACACTCATTTGGTGTTTTGAACAGCTTCAAAATATGTTACAGTAGGAGGGCGGTTGAACAACAGACACGTTGGCAAGTTTTCTGGGGCTGTGACTCCAGAGGGCACAGAGGAGCATGAGAAAAACGTTTCATTTTCTGTAGGACGGGACACGTGCTCTTATGGGAAAGCAGTGGATTTAAAAATAAAGTACAGCATTAAAATTAATTATATCTCTATTGCATATGATTGTGACATTTTATTTTCCAAAATGTTACAATTTGTAGAGAAAAATGTCATTGTTCTGTACAATTTTCAATGGTTCAGGGGAAAGTGAGAAAAGAGCTGGGCAGTGTGGACCCAGTGTGGGCACACTGAGACCCGCACACACAGAAAGTGTACTGTCATCTTAGCGCTGGAATCTCATTAAACACACACGTCACATGCAAATGCAGAGAAAAGCGAATCCTGTATTTTGTAGTAAAAGCAGGTAAATAATGCATAGGACATGATTTGAAAAGTAGGTCAGCATATTTTCCTCAGGTGCATGAGGCAGAAGTCATTCCCTTCCCTTTTCAGGGATCGTATCAAAATCGGACCATCTGCTGTTCTTGAATGTCCACTCAGTAATAATGGGGATTCACACAAATACTGTTTAACACAACGTGCTTGACTGTGGCAGCTCTACAATACTCCTTTTCTGTTCATAGCTTTCCAGCTGAGCCTTGTTGTTTCTCTTTCACTTACACCTGTCAGACACTGAACGCTACTGGGCCAGATCTTGTCTTCTTTGAATAATTGCTGTTTAAAAAATGTATTTAGATTACGCAACATTTTTTTATATCAAATTTTCTAAAAGTACTGAACTGCCAGCTGTTTTCCTTTCTATAGTTATACCTTTTATACTGTGTTAACTGTGTCAGAACCCCATGTTTTCCTTGTAGTAAAACTCCGAATTTTTCAGTTATGGTATGGTTAATTTTTTATTGAAATTATATTAAAGAGAATGGGAAAAGTAAATAGTGAAATCCATCTCTTGGACTTCTTATCCATCTGGAATAATTTGTAATAAATAGTAAACTTTCTAAAAATCCATTTGTTGGCATTTTATATAATAATATAAACAATTCACATAAAGCCTCATGTTGCTACATTTTTTACTCTTCAACCCAACAACACCTTACCAGAATGCTCTCTTCAATCCAGGACATTACCATAGCTACTGACTATCTGACTCATCTAAACAGATAAATACCCTAAAAATAGCCTCTGGGAGCTTTCAGGTTTACCTCCTGCAGAAGATGAATCTAGTCCCTGGGAAATAAAAATGCAAGGCCAGAGGTCACATTCTAACTGGACAGGGACACATTCTAATACACCCCAGCTCGCTCATGTCACTCCCTCCTCTCCTGAAAGAGGAAACATGAAAATAGCCAAACCCAGCCTATGAAATGCTATACAAAATTGATACATTAAAGCAAAATGCTATAGATAGATTAAGATCTAGACAGAAACAAACACCTTCACATGTATATATAAAGATCTGGGAAAAAAAAGATTAAAAGTCACATCCGGAAAACTGGTTCTGAAATACACCTTGCTGGCTATGTATATATGAAGTAAAAAAGTAATCCATCATATCCAAATGATAATGTTTTAAATTACTTTCTTCTGTTATGCATTTAACTCATAATGAACAACATCAACTCCTTCTCACTCTTCCAGAAATAAAAATTAGTGAGAAACAAACATCTTAGCTGAACAAGATGATGATTTCCGTACGCTTCGGCAGCAGCTAGTTTTGAAACATTTAAACCTGCAGGGAGGGCTTGTGGCAGCTGAGCTGAGTTGTCATGGTGACATTTTAAAGGATTAAATATTTACCACACAGTGGGCAAAGCGTATGAAAAGCCCATTTTTTCTTGCAGCCCAACAGTAGTGAAGGCATTGGATACATGTATAAGTATCACTTGGCAGGAGGCAGGTATCAGTAAGGGAGTTCCTACTGTTTACTTAAAATAAGAAGGCACAGCACTGGGGTCTGTGCATGACGGCGAGCACAACAGGCAGCATGGTTTCTGTAACCTACCATTACAAAGGCTATTTTTCGTAGATGTGTGGGCTTAGAAGACTTGGGTATGCTTTGAATTACAGTATGTGTTGTTAAATGAGTGCAGAGAATGATCATTTCCTTTTTCTGGAAAGATTTGTGCTTGCCAGCACACTTACTCCCTGGAGGCTTCTCGGATGTCATGAGAAGCAGCCCTGCCCCTACCTGAGCCCTGGCAGAGGCAAACAGCACCGCGCCTCTCTGAGCACTGGCTCCAGAGGAGGGCGCTCCGCAGTGACCGAGAGCTGGAATTCTGGGGACACCAGAGGGTTTATTTGGAAAAGATGCATCTTGCTCCGACAACATACACAAAGTAATTACATGGTAATTTTCACATATATCTCATGCATTTTCCTGTGTGATTCACATAGACACAAATGATTCATAGCTTATTCGTCTTATGTGAGATGTATGTGTTATAATGACAAAAAGCACAGAGAATACAGCAGGGCTCTCCCAAGAGTTGTAGGACTGTCTATTTAACTGTGACAATGCAGTTAAATTTATAATTTCAGTCATACAACCAGGAAAACCTACAGTAAGTGAGCATTAAAAAAGCTTTGGGACAAGTACTGCTCAAACTATATACAATTATATTCTTTATAAATACACTTTAATTATACTTTAGCATTGCTATTAAAACAATGAAGATGTATTTTTAGAACCTGTTCTTCATTGTTTTTGCTTATTATAATAACTTCATTATACAAGAATTAAAGTACACAGCCAGTTTTGACATTTTTATAATAATCAGTGCATAATTTTCAGCTGTGATGTGTCCACATCACTGTGTTCCGATAAGATTAAGGAAAAGGGAAAAATTAACAAATACAATTTTTTGCTCCTTCAGTTTTAAAAAATATAATGACAGGCCAGGTACAACTCCTTTGAAACGCAAGAGTATACAAGGCACAGACAGGCAATACATTCCAATCTAAATAAATTTAATAGCACATGTTGATATTCATTTTGAGAAACCATCATTACGAAAGGCCATATCAATTATGTACTGTAGGGGCTAAACCTCCTTTCAGTCCTGCGTTTCTCCCCTGCCCTGCCCTGCTAAATGCATGTGTTCAACAAGCATTTTAAGAATCATTAAAGTAAACAGTAATTTCAGAGCAAGATAAAATGCAGATAAAACACACAAACACCCAGAAAAAAAATATACATATATATGTATTTTTCAGTTTTGTTCATAGATTGAGATAACATATAGACTGTCACCAAATACTGATTCTCACTTATGAAGGGAACGAGGGCAGCCTGTGGAAGTGGTACCTTTTTCAACACGTGTGGGAGTGCACTGCAGGAACAGTGCTTTCCAAGAGCTGGGATCCAGTTTAAATACATCACATAAGAGCACTTCCTGTGCTGAATAGCATTCATGGCTACAGAACACTAACAGGTAATTGTTTCATGTTCATGAGTTATCTGTTTTTAAAATGTTTAGCTACACTTGAAAGCACACAAAATTCCTTTGTTATCATATTCTAAAAAGTTTACCATACAGTATGTTTTGGGTGCACAAATATACCATTGTGGACAATATTCAATTTTCTATACAGTAGATCTAAGCATGAGGTTACTGTTTGGCAAGATCTAAAACACTTCCCACTGTTTGTTTTGTACTGTACATGATGCCCCGTGAACCTCTCATTCTCTTATTACACAAGATTAAAAGGCAACTTGCTCTACTCATCCTCCCGAAAAGACGTTATCTATTCATGAAAACTTTAGATCACGAACCTTTGATTTTGTGTCCATTTTTCTCCACTGTTTGGGGAGGAGTAGGGTTCAAGTCCTCACTACAGACACTTCTGTAGTACCCCAGTGGTTTCAGCCCACCCAGCTGTACCAGTGGTGACCAGCACTGATGGGGGTCATCCCTGTGCTGGACTGGCGTCCCAACCTGGGGGACTCATTCTCTCCAGACCCTTTAACACTACAGAAACCAGGATGAGCTCTGGCCCAATATATGTCTGTGGATCCAGTATCTACTTTAGCTTTTTTAGCTCCTTGTTCTCAATAACAAAGCACATTATTTGTCTCCCTTAATGCTATCACATTTTGTACTTCTCTGTACAACAGTTTCCAGCAATGTTTTTTTAAGCTAATGAAAACCTACCCTGAAAAAGACACAACAGTTCTGTACAGGGTAAGCCTTCAGAATCCCAAGGACAACACAAATAGAATGATTATAATGATGAATCCAAATGAAAATAAATGTATTTAGGTCAGTTGTTTATGGTTTAGTTTTAACAGTAATGTCATCTCAGATATCACTGATAAAACAAAACAATAACAACCTCTGGTTAAACTTTTCAGTTGATAATACAAAACGATTTAGGATCTCTATAATGCATTTATTGCACAATTTATCTGGCTCACATTACGCTTTACTACCCCATCAGATACAACGCAGTATTTTTATGTGGACATTGATCCATTTAATCAATTAAATCACATTAGCTATTACAGCCCTGCACATTCCTCTGCTTCCACCTCAGGGAAAAAGGAAAAAAATCCTTGTTTTGTACATTTTTGTTTTGTTGTGTTGTTATTATAATCTTTCAAAACAGAAAGTGATAAATAAAAAATAGAAAATATATTTCTTAACATCGTTTTTAGTTACACTGTTGAAACAACAAGTTTCATCCATTCAAATGAAATGAAACCCTCCCTTACTTACAAGCGGAAGCGGATTTTTGGTTTCAGATTCAATGCCTGAGGAACGTCACCCTGTCAGACTTGTTTTATTCTTGTTTTGTTTTTAAAACTCCTCTTTCCATTGAACTGAATGAGGTGACTATTCCTGAGCAAGACGATCAGAACATACATGTTTCATGGTCAAGCAGAAGCACCTTTAAAGTGCTTCTCTTTCACTTAATAATTTACTACCATAGTAAAACAGACAAGCAACCACAGAAGAGGAACTCATCTGCATTCAAGCATGACCTTCCCTTAGTACATTAAATTCATGAGACATTCATGACAGCTGAAACAACAGGCAAATATTTGTGGCACACCATCATTAAATTGAAGCAGTCTGGGTTTATACACACATATTGCATATTTATTATCTTTGAAAGTATCATATAAAAATACTAGTTAAATACATATTCTGGTTATACATTTTTAAAAGTGTTCTGCTAACAGTGCTTCAGTTTTTAGTTTATAGAATAGTAAAATATAATATTTGACAAAAGAATTACATTTTGAAACTCCTTGATTGTGCGAATAATGACATATATATTCATGTCATGGTAAACATGTATCACCAATATCTACAGACACTGGTACAGAATATCCATTCTCTAAAAACATGGCTTACTCCATAATCCACAGTTTTCAACAGCAGTTCTTCATATAGGAGCATTTACTTAACAAATCCCTAGTGAAGTTAGTAAGAAGTTGTTTCCATGAATATCAAATCAAAATGATTACACAGAACAAACTGCAGTAATACACATATGCAATTCTTCATGAGAGTAACAACAGATTTTCCTTAAAAATGGATCTGTTAAATAAATATGAATTATCGCGTTAGACAAACTATTACAGTGCTGTATATCGTGTAAGCTCTGCAGAACTACCTGAACTAAGGTACAACTATATTTAATATTTTCATAAAGCTCCATGCAGAAATTGATAATGAACAAGACAGTAAATGAGGAAGAAGAGCATGAAAGAACAAGAATGACTGTAGTTAATGGTGGTGACAACAAGACAGGCAATTGTCACATGAGGGGAAAAAAGTCAACAGAGGTCTGAAGTTCATTTGTCACTAAAACCCATCTTTGCAGAAAAAAAGTAATACCTCCTGCATTAGATATACTGCAGTCATTTTTATACAATAGAAAGCTCTATCGAGTGAATTTTATCAAATTCAACAATTCAAATTCTTGAATTTCCCTTGACTACCACCACCCTTCAATAACCACATTACAGGAGAACTGATACATTTGTAATGACTTGTTTCTCCAAGACAAATAATTATTTGTTGAAACCAGTACTGGAGACTCAGTTTCCCCAAACGGTTAAAATATCCAGATACTACAGGAAGCGGCAGAATAAATAAATAGAGTTAAGGATTATTGCATCTTCTTTTCCCTGTACAACACCATCACCTGAAACATTTAAGTTATCCCAGTAATTATCATGACAAGCTGGGCTATAGAACATGGGGAGAAATATCAAAAGGCCTCATAAAAATTGGTCACAAAGGAAATTCTTTCGTTATTTTTTTCTCATAACTATACTTATACAGTACCTTAGTCAAGAACAGATTACACAAAGACCTTCACTTCTATACAACAACAAACAAAATACATCTAGGAGATGCGTTACTACCAGGAGCGTTTCATGACATAATGTTTTCAAAAATAATATTTCTCTTGGTGAATGTAAAGTAAATACTTTTCAAGATAAACTTATAAAATTATAAAGGATATTAAGATATAAAACACAAAGCAATGCCTTCATCTGGTCTTTCTGACAATGTTTAGAATGATAAGAATACAAAGTGAAATGTAAAATAATAAAAAAACATAAAAATTAAAATAATGTCGATTTCATTTATCCCACCTATGTGGGAGAACAGTTTAGCAAACGATTTAAAGGCATATCACATGTATACAGTTACTTATGCATATGTTTCAATATGACATTAGTCATGAAGCATGCTGTGTGTTGCTCATTTATGAATCAGCTCTGCTTGTTCTAACTCATTAAAAGTAGGAGTACGTTCTTTGGGACTATAGCTTATCCTGTGCAATTCACTTTGTAATTTATTCACTTTGACACAGTGTCAAAGATACATATGATCAATGAATACTCCATCAAAGATACCAAAATAAAAAAAAAATCAATGAATGTAATATAGTTAGAATATTATGTTGCTTAAATAAGTAAAATTGTCATGGTTACTTATCACAAGGACGTAAATACTGTACTTCATTAGTTCTCTGAATATTGCATATGGGTTTTCTTATCCATAGCATAGCATATCAACAGCACAGCTAAAGATCAAAATAACAAAAAGTTGTATTTCTGTACATTCTAAGTATCAACTTCTCTGAAATTAGCATTTCAATTTTGTTGTGTATAGAAAAAGTGTGAACATTACAGCTATGTTCTGTAATGTAGCTGTTCTTACAGCTAAGCCAGAGAATGTGGCCTCTACTGTGGTTTTAGTTATAAATGTTGTATTCAGTACTCGTGAACCCTGTTCTTGTCAGCAGTCAGCTTGCAGCACACATGATTTGCTTTATCAGGAAAGACCAAAACATACATGAAGTGCAGGTCGCCTATTGCTCAGTTCCATTAACTGAGTGCTGCTTATGCATATAACAGTACATATCTGGCTTCATGACTAATGTAGTTTTCAGAAGAAAAATTAAAATATGAAATACAAATATGAAATAATTTTTCTATGTTCTAACTGGCCGCTTTATCTAAGATCAGTGCATAATGTTTGGACATCAGCCATGACTGTGATACTCCCTTATGTTGGAGGAGGTCCTTCATATCTCAGCATCAAGTTGAATGATCGGGCAAAGTTGTTGGCCAGGGAGCAGCTGCTGGCAGTTTCGTCGCCCCAGGGCAGCAGGAACGCCAGCAGGAGCAGGCAAAGGAGCAGGAGCTGCAGGGGTAGGGCAACACAGCACACCCTGTACAAGAACCCAGAGCGCTTCTGAAAAACGGCAGGCAGAGGCTACAGTCAGAGAACCTTCAAACACCACTGAGTGCTCTGAGAGCAGTTCAGCTGAATCATCCCCTGTTCAATAAAGACAGCTCCCTCACATTTTCTCTGCAGGTTTGTAGATGTATACTAGTCTAAGTAAATTTCATGAGAAATGATAAGAAATATCATATATAGAATTTTAAAAAAGAACAGATTAAATTTTTTTGCCAGTGTTACAACACTAGTTAACTTTATTTCTCCATGATAAATATGCTTCTAAGTTTCTATCTGAATTTTTGTAAAATACATACTATTAGAAAATTTCTAGAAACATTTTTGCAATTTAGAAACATATTTCTATATAAAATCAATAATGTACATATCAGTGCACCAAAAGTGTGCAAGACTCAGATACTTTTAAGCCAGTAAAAATTATATTTGCAAAGATTTACGCCTACATAAAACTATTACCAGTCCATGATTTCACAGGGTAAAATTGAAAGCAAAGAGTGCAATTTCCTTGGATAATGTCATGAGCCACTTTCCATCAACGCCTCTGCTATAGCTGTGCATTATGTAGGACATTTGTGAGGGGGCGGCAGATCTGCAGTGAGCAAAAGCTCTGTGAAATGCATTAATTTTATTCAGTGACTGCACTTCAGCTAAAATATTCACTTGACTTGCATTTATATGATTAACCACGAGAAAAATAACTAACCACTTGCAAAATTACAGATTAATAGGTTTCCAGGTTTATGTTTTTAAGATTCAAAAGAAGCGTGTCCCTTATTTTGCAGTCCTCAGCTCATTTAAACTTAATTGTTTAGTTAACAAAATAAGCATTTGAATTTGCAAATTATTAAGGCAAACAACCACAATACAAAAAAATAAAAAGTTAAAATGAAATAACTAGCTATATATCTAGCTGTTCTAGCTGAGCAGCTCCTGTAGTAAATCATTAAATGTCTTCTTCAGACAGAAAATATTAGTAGATATAAATATATAATCCAAGGCAGAATAATAGATAAAAAATGCACCAATAGAAGCAATAATACCTTGAAAGTGCACTTTCAAAACAAAGCTATCCAGATCTCATCTGTTGAACGAAAATTTAAGGATTACTACGCTGTATATTACAAAGACTTGCATTCATATTAGCAAAAAAAGGAATAGTAACCTACTCCAAAATCTACTCAAAAAGCACACACAAAAATGGCAGTTGATTTTGTACAGAACTTCTTTTCTTCACAAACTTAATAAAAGTAAAATCTTTAAACTATTTTTAAACTATTTTAAACTAAGAATATTTAAACTATTCTATTTTTAAACTGCTAGACCCCTGCTGAAGTGCACTGACTGGCTGTTGGGAGAGCATGAGACTCATAATCTCAGGGTAGTGGGTTCGTGTCCCACATCGGGTGCCGTGTGGGCACAAGGCGAACAACCCTGTCCCATTAAACAATGTTATGGAAACAGCAACAGGATGTTGCTGTCCCTACATGCCGGAAGGCAAAACAGGCAAATATCCACATCCAGACCCCTGCTGATCCAGGTGGAAAGTTAATATGGCACTGTGATTATTTTAATGATTGACAGATGGATTATTGAAGTGTATAACACGATGCAAACTCTCAAGAATTCTTGCATCAACACAAGCAACCTGCCATGAATGGCTTTTACACTGCCTGTTGTGAGCACTGAGCGAGTCCTTCTGGAAGGCTTTAGAATTAACGCAGAGCTTTGACATTTCCTAATCTTGGGCTGCCCACTGTGCCTTTAAATTAAGTTTATTTTCTACTGGACAGCAGACTGCATGACCTCCCACAAGTGTCAACAACCTGAAAGTAGGCAGCGGATATTAACTTTGAAACCGTCTGCTTTCATATGTTCTATATAAATACAATTTCTTGGCCTCATGCATTGGCACTCTGACTTAAATTCACCTAAATTTGGTGTGGCTTTTTAAAAAAAAAGTCAAACGTTTTGTTATTTTATTTTTATGTAATAACAAAACATAACTCTAAAAACATGCAACAAGGACCCGGAAGTGCGGATAATGGAATAAAAACACTCTGACACCCCATTGGGCTTCAGCTACGAGCCCACAACGCGATACGGGCTCAGTCCCACACGCTGGCTGCCATGGGTCTGAACCAGGCGGCGGCCCGAGCACCCTGTCCAGGCTCTGCACAACGCCCAGCCCCTGTGGAGTCCCAGCTCACCGCAGGAGTGGGTGACATCAGTGGGAACCGCGCCAGACCACCGGCTGGCAAAGTGGAACGGGTCACTGGCGCAGAAGAACTCCCACCCCGAGGGCACCGCGACTGCAAGGCCAGTGACCCCCGTCAGATTTGTGCAAACAAAACCCCATGGGCCAGTGAAGCGTTCACTCCACTACTGAATTCATTGCATGCTCCGGTATCAGTCCCATACAGGAATGACTGTATTTATTAAAACTGGTTCACTCTACCTTTTGAATGCTGATCGGTTCATCAAGAGCACCAACGTCCTGTAAAACAACGTTAAGTCTATTCAGCAGATCTCCAAGAGAAAACACAGAAATATTCAAAATGGAAAAGACAATGTTAAACACAAGGCCAGCATCTTATGCATGGATTAGACCTTGTTTTGATCATTAGAGCAGTGTGATATGGTGCCACCTTGTGGCTGTGAATTGGCTCCTAAGCATTAGAACAGGACTGCCAGCAAATATTAGATCCCTTTAAATTTCAACTAATACAAAAACTGGGACATTGTATCATTGGTAATAATGTATTACAATTAAACAAATCACATTCTGTAAGAACATGACAGGATACCCAATATTGTGATTACACTCACATCTGTGTATAAAGTAAAAACTGAAAGACTTATGCTCTTATGATCAAGTATTATGGTTGATATTATGCTACTTGTTGTTTTTTTTTATTTGGCAATGTATAAAACAAAAATTAGCAGCAGTGTTTTTTTAAATATATTTTTGTTCTGAGAACCCCACTTATAGTTACTTGACGACAGACCCCAGACTGAGACACTGATTTCTTCGCTGTCTAGGACACACTGCACTCTGAACTGAGTTCTCTGCAAACCAAGCCTCTTTGCCATCAAAGTAAAAAAGTAAGAACTTCCATATCTATATTAAAACAATATATTACAAATGTAACCCAAAGGAAAGGGGTCCTCTGTGTTTGTACTTGACCTTGGGCCCGACACTTGCTGTCAAGTTTCGTGAATCTTTCAGTTTTGACTTGTAGAGCATCCAGCGATACCGCAGCTCCTCCAGCTCTGCGTCCCCCACACCTCTGCTGCCCGAGGACGTCATTAGCTGCTGGAAGAGGCTTTGCCCATGAGCGATATGAGAATGCAAATCCTGCGTGTGGAAAACAGATGTCTGTACTGAGGACGCATGAAAAGGGAAGGCAGCGACGTAGGACTTTCAGTTTCAGATTGGGACGCTGCCTTCATCCAGAGCTGGGGTTCCTAACCTGTGTTTTCTAATCCACAGGGATGACCTAGCATCCTTATTTTGAAATGTCTCAGTACATTTCTGCTTTTCATTCCAAAATAACAATTTAGTCTTTACTTAAGTTCAAGTTTATTGTCATTATACTCATATACAGGTATATGGTATAACGAAATGCTATTTAGCTAGCTCTCAGATGATAAGTAGTACAAAAAACAACAACAATACAATTGTATAATAAAAGAAACACAGAGACAACAGCCAATGTGCAAAACAACAAAAGGTAACAGGTAATGTGCAAAACAACATCAGATGTGCAAAAACATACATCAACTCAATGAAATAAAGGATAGAAAATTATGGGGAGTGAGCTTTTTGACATGTGAGGTAGAGGTAGATTTCAATGTGTGTTTGAGTTTTTGGTAAGAAAGAAGGCACTGTGAGGTTCAGATCATATGTGAGAGAGGCTGGGAGTTTAATAGTTTGATAGTGCGGGGGTAAAAACTGTCTCTGTGTCTAGTAGTCCGGGCCCGAATGCTCCTGTACCGTTTTCCAGATGGTAGAGGTCCATACAGTCTGTAGCTGGGGTGTGTGGGGTCTTTGATGATGCTTAGAGCTTTCCTCAAGCACCGCCTGTTATAAATGTCCTGTATGGATGGGAAGGCAACCCCAGTGATGGACTGGGCAGTGTTCACCACTTAGAGGGAACGGTCGTCACTAACTTATTGAATGACCTTCCAGAATGAGTATGGTTTTAGAAAATAATAATAGATTATTTTAGAAAAAAAACATTCAAGAGCCATAGATACAAAAACTAACTTAAATCCTAATGATACATTTTTGTTGGAAAGAACACACTAGTCTTTAAGCACATTCACCTGAGGACTGGGAAACTGGCTTACCTTAAGACCTTTTTGCCTGATTTTCAATTCTTTACCACTCAAAAAACCTCTTCGACTTAAAATCCTGGTTAGTTTATGGTTTTCACCCTGCAACCATTCTTCAAACTTTTTCTGTAGTTTAATAAAGTCAACATTCCTTGGGGTTTCTTGTGAGACCTCCTGAAATCATATCATATGAAACACAGTAAAAAGAATCATCAGACTTGAGCCATCCATCTCTGTAATTTATCTGTTTTGCATATTTTTTAAGTGTGTGCTATATTTGGTGTTATTATGATCATAGGGTTTTAAAACTTTTTTTATTCAGCATTATTTCTCTTCTCTCCCCCTATATACATGGGGAAGTTCTCAACCTCCTGGACTGCAAGCTGCTACTACATTCAGTCTCTCTCAGGACACACACCCTTTAACCATTAAAGGCCAATAAACCCTGATGAACCTGAGTTCTGCTCTTCTGCGCCACCTTCCTACATCGCAGCCACAATTAAATAAAGGAGGGTCACGAAAGGTAATTCTCATATAAATGTCCACGCAGCAGCTAAGAAAGGGCCATTGCCGAAAAACGTAAGATCGGGGCAATATAAAGACTTTCTGACCCACACACACCCTCATGCAACCCAGGCAGTGAGTGGAAATAAAGATCTGCGAAGAGCACCTGCAACAGTGAAAACTATCACAAAATAAAGTTTTTAAATACCACAATATCATTAACACCTTGTCTTTTTTGACTGCTCACATAGCATATTGTACCTCTCGGCCATTGTTTGAAGTTGATGGAGCTGAAAGATACTTCTGATCTATTGGCCTTGCTCCATCAGGGCTCTCTCTCTCCGGAGCCACTCTTCTTGCAGGTGCAAGCAAATCACTTATTCTGGAAAAGCAGTCAGGAGTAGCAGATGTAAGAATCTTGCAATTTCAATATTGATTTTACCTTATTTTTGAACCTCCAAAATGGTAAACTGAGACAAATACAGTACTTTTCTCGTAATTCTGAAAAACTGGGCATCAATTGAGTAGGTTAAGACATAACCTCCCAGACTCATTCCAAAATGACTTAAATTTTAATTACACACATTCTTGGAGAAACTCCATATCAGTGAATCATTCTGAAAGGAACTGGGACAGTATGATAACCTCAGAGAAGAAGCAGAGCCGTCCTGCCTGCTGGGGGTCATGCTCAGTGTGTGGAGGATTTTCCAGGATTCCTTCAGCCGCTCCAGATTACTCCAGATGAGCTCTCTGCCGGCAGGCGAGGTCTTTGCTAGAACAGATTCTCCTTGTGCCTCAAGGTGGTGGAGCTCAATCTCCCTCTCGGGGAATTCAGCAAGGACTTTCTGAGAAGACAAAAGCACACCAGCCTAAACCTGCTGCTGCAGCCTGCACTGAACAGCTCTGAAGGGCTACACAACTAGCAATGAGGAAACCATAAATTATCAATTATTTGTTATGCAATACACAGAGCTACGGACGGAGAGCTAAGCCTCTAGCCAGAGGGTTATGGGCTCTCATCCTGACACTTGAGTAGTGTGCTCTCCCTCAGGTTTGGCACTTAACCCAACAGCTACCCGCCCAAGTCACTCCTGTTCTCCTTGTCACCAAAGAAACCTGGAAAATCTCAGGCTCGTGCTGCCAGTCATGACTGGGTTTAACAGACAACAACAAATATAAGATGCTCACAGTTCAACTACAAAGACAATTTGCTTGAGACTGTTAATTATGAACCACTGCAACAACAATTTGAAATTTACCACAAGACTGTACATTCTGGATTCAAACACCAATATACTCAGGAAACAATGGGAAAAATGTATGCATTGCTTTCAAAATCGAAACAAGACAAAGTCTCTGCCATAATTACAGCTGAAGTCTATTTTCCTTTCATTTACACAATATTCAAATAGAATAAACAAACAAGATGAATATGAAGTTTGTTCAGTATCATGTGAACCTCACAGTGAGACCGGCTGACCTCTGTTTCGGCTCTGTGGTGGTCAGCACTCCAGTGCTCCTCCGTGTTGCCGTGCGACTCCAGTTTCTGCCTGGTTATCATCAACCACTTTTCTAGACTCCGTAGATTCTCATGGAAATTTTTATGCTCCCAAATATTTTGCCTACTTGCTAAAATCCTATCCTGAAAAGAATTACAGGAAATATAATGCAGGAGTCAACAACTTAGAATTCCCAAGGTTTCCAAAACAGTTAAAATCAGACATATTTTGATACAAAGACACTTGTATGTCTTGTGAGTATAAAGACACCTATAAATAATTACATCAGAAGAGAAGATCAATAATAACCTTTCTTAACTGAAGACTAACTTTAGTATTTTAATATACAGAATAAATTATAAAACTATATAAATGCAACCTGTTTTTTTAATTTCATTTTTGTATAAAACCTTGAGTTTGTAATGTAAGTCTGGTCCTGGTTAGGAACCTAGCTCAGTGCCAATTAGCTGTTTTATGTTTTGGTACGTGATCTCATTCAATTGCACATGCTTTCCCTTTTAAGTTGACTCTTGATAAATACTGAAAGGCTAAGTTAGTAAACCTGTGACAGGTCCTACCTGCAGAGCTATAGAAAGAGCCTTGTTTTCCGCTAAAAACTGGCTGATCTTGTTTTTGTCACTTGGGTTTGAGGAAGACTGACTTTTTAATGCTTCAATATGTGTTTTGACGTCTTCTAAATCCTCTTGGATTGCCTGTAATTACATTTACATTTTTTCCATGAATTTAAAATGTAAAACTGAATAAACAGTAACCAAAAACTATACAATAAAATGGATAAGACACATCTGATTTTGCTGAGATATTATGTTGCACAAACTTGATAAAAATAATCCACTGATTGTATGAAAGTATATACTCTACACCTAACTAACAGATCTGGTTTTATTGCTGAACATGTTAATTAATTTATTAGACACTTAAATTAATATGGCACTACATGGTCTAATTGTAAGATCGTCTTTAAGTAAGTAAACATGGAAAAAAGTGAAAGAAGACCACACTTAAAAATATGTTTTTTATTTGTGATGACGCATTATACAAAGAGGTATTTTTCTCGAAAGAGGGAAAATTTTCCTGCTAAATAATTCACTCAGGAGATATTTGTGTGAAAATAGTTTCAACCAACAACACTAAGTGAATGAAAAACATGATTTATTTATATCTCATGCTACATAATAACACAGAAAACTGATTTGAAATGAAATGTGACATAAAAGCTCACCTGTAACTGGTTGTGTTGTCTTGTTTTGGCCTGTACATCAGGCTGCAGCTCATCTCCAATAGCAAGTCTTACTCTGATATCAGCCTGCTTTTGCAGAATTATCCCATAAACATCATCAATATCTTTTGTTCTCAACATTAAACCCTTCAAAAGAAATATTGAATAATTTAACATTAAAAAGACAAAAATGCTACAAACAGAACAATCGTGACATTTTCAATGATTTATAATACAATCAGGAATTCAATTCTGAAAGACTGAAAATGTCAGCAACACTTCAGCTGACAATCATTACTGAAAAACCAATCATGATAAAAATCACATCATACTAAACCCCTACACCATACTATACTAAAATAAACTCCCTTCTCAGAATGATTGAGTCTATGATAAATCATCTATGCTGCTGTTGGCTGTTGATTTTTTAAGTGCTTTACATAACTACCAGCTCTCTTATCAAGCTCAAACAGTTCTTTAAAATTACCAAATGTACGACCCATTTCACTAATCCCCACAATCAATGTCCTGAGAAAATGTTATACTGTACATAAACTATTTTCCACTTAATAATTAAAACAACTATGTAGAAAAGAAAATGTTATCCTTCTTCCAAATGCATTTATATCTCAGGAATGCTGTTTTATCACAGGGACAGTTGTTTCTGGCCCTCAAAGAAACGTGTACATATCTTAGCCAAGGTAATGTGATCTGAAAACGTCTGGCCTGAAATGGCCTGAAATGTTCATTCCAAAAAATGTGAACACATGAGGGCGCTCTTGGTAAAAACAATGCTCTAATCTTGGGACTTTTTTCAGAGATGAAGCTATAGGATACAATTGTGGCTGCTTTCCTCTACCTGAAGCTTGCTCTTTCTCTGAAGGAGTTTACTGTGAAGATGCTCTCTCTCCTTCACAGCCTCACTGAGCTCCAGTCGCAGGCTGTCTGCCTTCTCTTCACTGAAGACACTACTCAGCAAGTCTTGCTTACTGTGCAGGAGATGCAGCTGCTGCTGGAGCAGGCTGCTTTGTAACAACAGCTCCTGTATGGAATAAAAGGAGCCATTCATTTATGTTAACAGTAGTCATGTTTTTTTATTCCTTGTGTTTTTTGCAGTTGCAGTGGCTAAAAACATTGTTTTAGGTTTATAGCTTTTTTATGTCATGAAAACACTGTATTACAAAGTTTTAAAGTTCTGATTCTCCTGTTTCAAAAAAAAATCTGCTCTTTCATTGAGAAAACTTTCACAACTTATGCAAAGAAGATCGAGAGTGTTACATATTGCAATATAGCAAAAACATCTTGCAATCTAAACTTCTATAGACAAAATAGTCCCTTAGGAAAGTTTTTCAGGGACAAAAATGCTTATTTTAAATGACAGAAGGCTAGATCAAGTTTCAAAAGTGCTGGGAGTCTGTCATGCCTGCGGGTAAACAGTCTGCTGATGTTTTTGTTCTCAGAAATAATCTTCTTATACTTAAGCTGCTCAACTAGACTGAACATGCTCAATCAGATACAGAACAAAAAATGATTCTAAACATTTACAAGTCTCTCCCATAAATTTCCATTCACAAAATAAATCTGCTTTAATATTATTTACACCAAACAGTTTATATTTGAAAGAATTATTAAAAAAAACCATGAAAAAAACAGTTTATTTCAGAAGGAAAATCTGCAGGGTGTCTAATTAACCCAAAGCATTTTTAAAACTTCAAATAGAGCTAGAAAAGGAGATAAGATACAGTAGAATTATCTTGATGTGAGGTCAATTAAAGAAAATCTCAATGAGAACAGAAAGGGAATGATGTGCGACACATGCCTTAGGACATATGTTAATACAGTACATTGGAAGGTATCATTAGACTGCATTCCATTCAGTGCATCTCCAGAATTCCTGTCCCTGTAGCACACAGTTCCTGGACTGCATTCCTATGAGCTGACAGACTGAGAAGGGTGCGGAAATCTCTACCTCAATGTTCCGCAAGTGCACACTGATAAGAGAGCTGTCAGCAACATCTGCGGATGCATCCAGGGTTCTGGTCACCGAGGGACTCCACTGACTAAAGTCCCGGAGAGGGTCCTGGAGAACGCGCCTCAGGCTGGCCTCCATCTCCATGGACAGTCGGAACGCCTTGCTCTTCACGCTGAAAGGATCCCACAAATCACAGGCTTAAAGCGGGCAGTGTGGATAACCACATCATCAGATATGCACATAATGGAAAAAACACTTAAACAGAAGAAAACTGATAGTAGATCTTCATTTCTAAAACTCCAGATGAAGAGTCATGCAGAAACAGAATGTAAAAAGTGATGTAGTAGTGCAGTATATTTTTCCTGAACTGTACATCTGAGCCAAGAGGTGATCCTGAGTCCGTATTCTTCCCAGAGAACTGTTCACCTTTGATATTCCTTCACCACAGCCAGGACTTCATCAGACAGGGGTTTTGTGTCTTGGGAGAGCCTGAACAACCCCTTCAGCTGGGCCTTCAGCCTTTCAATACTGGACTCCTCCTCCGCCAGAGCCATCCTGGTGGCCTGGGAATCAATTAACAACAGGGTTAAGCTAAAGAACACAAGAAAAACTCAAAAAATACACAGTGAAGAACTAAATTAGAATCATTTCTTCAGAATTTCACATACATCTAACCATTTCTGAAAATATAATGAAAAGACAATCAAGATTGATTAAGTTTACACTTCTTGTGAGTTCTGTTCCAAAATTGAATAACCTTAACTGATCCTCACAAAACATCTTACTTTTTGCATATGTTATGTTATTTGCATATGTAATATTTTGATAAATTGTTAATTTTGTGTTGGGCTGCAAAATAATCCAACTTTATCTCATTGCACATTCAGTATAGTACTACCATAATGCTCCTTTTTTCCCTTGGGGATTTAAACATGGTGCTGTTTTACCCTGAAACGACATCTCTGGTAACACCTGCATGCGTTCAACTTGACAGCTAAAAAACTGAAATTCCAAGAATTTATGGCACCGAAGAGAGAGAGGAAAAAAAGCTATATATCAAAAACACTATTCCATAAAATGCACCATATATCTTCTCCACGTGACCATCATCTGCTCTTCGGATCTTTCACCATCCTGCGCTTCCAGTTGCCGACTGAGTTCCAGCACCCGATTCCAGAGCTCTGCGATGTTCTCTCTAAGCTGGCTGGCCATGGCCATGTGCTCTGCCTGCGACTGCAGGGTGACCTTCGCTCTCTCCTGCTTATGGACACAGCTCTGCAGTAGCCTCTCCCAGGACTGGCGCAGGTCCTCCACCTCTTCGGCGATCCTCCTGGAGCCCTGGGGAGAAGTGTTGGCCTGCACAGACTCAGCTAACGTTTCGATCTCTTGCACAGTTTTCTCTTCCCTGTTGACACTTCTGTAAAGCTCCTATAAAATAAAACAAAAAAATCACAAAGAGGGACATCAGCCTTTTTGGCCACTCAAGGAAGACAACGATGTATAAATGATTTCAATCTGAGCTTAAGAAGGTGGAAGCCTGCTCAAGAATACAATAAAAAACAACAAATAATGACACTGAGATCTAATGATTTTTAAGAAAGTGGCTAGAGATCTTAGCCCAGTAAAGCCCAATCCATCATTTAGGATCCCAACCATTCCAGCCACAAACTGTTCTCCCCCCTGCACTCTGGCAAGCGGTACCGGACTATTAAAGCACAGACTACTAGACTCAAGAGCGGCTTCTACCCTACTGCAGTGCACATCCTTAACAGACTAACTGCAATGCCTCAGACTCAATGCACCTCTGCACTAGGCACTTTTTGCATGGTCTAATGTTTTTTTCTTTTACTTTATTTATTGTTCTGATTGTATTATTTATTATGTTGCAATATACTGTCTACACTGTGTGGTGATGTCTGCTGTACTGTGTATGTCCCGAGAGATCAGAGCGAATAAGAATTCCAATGTACAAGTACATACGGCAATGAAGTTCTCTACCTCTACTACTACTTTAATCAGGTATACCTCCAGTTCCTTAAGCTTTTCTTCTGTCCCATCCTTTGTCTTTTCATTGTAGCAGCTGAGTTCTTCACACTTAGATAACAGCCACATCCGAAACTTTTCTGCCAGGCTTTGATAGAGCTGGTGCTGTTCTACTACTTTGGTAAGTAGCAGCACTCTTTCCTGAAGGAAAGAAGAAGCAACACAAGTAAAACCACGAGAACAATTTCAAAATCAACAATAACACAGGGACTGTTAAGTGGAGTACTTCTGCAGCACTGGTTATAGTTAAAATTAAATTTACACTGTATTAATGTAGTGTAAATACTTTCTACCAACTGTGCTTTCAAGCAGACTAAGAAAATAAATGGCCTGTCAGTACTGACCTGAGATCTGGTTCTGATGTCTTCATAGCTGGTCTTCAGGCCCTTCAGGACCTCTTCTCCCACAGTGGGGTCCTGGGTGCGGCTGTGTAGGGTAGCTGCCTCTTCCATCAGCCTCTCCAGAAGAAGGGCCTGGTTCTCAGTGTCGCTGAGCAGGATCCTGTGGTGGTCCAGCTGCCACAGCTTCTCCTGGACACCCAGCTGCAGCTCCAGCTGGCACTCCAGGGCACTGTTGGTCTTTGCCAGCCACTGTCTGAACTCCTCGAGAGCCTTTAGGTACTCACTCCAGTGCAGCCACACCCACTCGATACGGCTGCAAGCAGCAGGACAGGACAGCACTGGGTGAGCAAGACACGCCACCTCCTTCACTGGTCTGTACAAGTGCTTTGGCGGGTCAGAGAAATTCCTCTTTAAACGTCAATATCCCTTCTCGTTTTAGAACTGTGACAATAAAGCCTACGAGATTCCATCTGAGATTGTATGGCCAGCTCTTGCTTTGTGCTTGCATGAGTGTTTAGACAATCTTATACCTTTTTTTGGCCTTAGAGATATTAAAAAATAAATTCAGTTCAGGTATGATTTAGTATGTAGAAGTGACCGCTGTTTATGTGCTTAAAAAGGACATGACACATTTAAATATGTTTATCCAAAACTGAAAACCTACTCTACTGGCCTTAGATTATGAAGACACAGTATAGCTGTGCTATATATAGCATCCAGTTAAAAACTAGTTTATCACCAACACATCATCCATTATTACTGCAACAGGATTCTGAGAATTTTGTTTTCCAATCACATTTTGTAGCCTCACTGAAAAAAGGATTTTTGGTACAGAGTAGAATAACAGTATTTGCTACAGTACCTGTGACAGTGGATGATATATGTGTATGTTTCCTCCCACAGGTCTTTGACTTCCTTCAGCTTGGTGAAGGTTTCCTGCTTTGTGTCTTCATCCCCACACTGCAGAAGAGCCTCTCCTGCCACCAGTACCCTGTCCATCTTCATCCTGCCTTCATGCTGTGACTCATATATTCTCTGTTACAACAAATACATAAGTACCTTAGCAAGCTAATTAAACTGCAATCTAAAGACAAGAGCTGAGATAAAGGATGTGTTGTTATACACAGGCCATGTAAGAAGTGCTAGAAATTGAGTAGTGGACAAAAAAAAGAAACACTTCAGTAAATGAGGGACACTAAGTATATTGAAAGTAAGGGCTTCCACACAGGTCTGGCTCAAATGCCACTTCAGTGTGCTTTGCATCATGCATAAAAATTAAGGACAGGCCTGGCTACATAGAGTCTGATTAAGGCTTACATAGCTGAAAGAGAAGACCTTGGTGACACTGAGAGAGGAGTGATTGTTGGGCTCTTTTGGCAGGAGTTCAAATAACTGAAACAGCTCAGCTGGCTGGTGTCTCAAGTGATAATCCAAGCGAAAGATATGAACGGTGGGCAGAACTGAGTATTCCAGGATTATAAAGTCCGTGCATTAATTTGAAATGCAAGGAAAAACAGGAGAACAACTGCAGATTACTCGACACACTCAACCTCAGGTATGATCAGCTCGTTTCATCAGAATTGTCCACTGAGAACTCCACAGAACGGGATCCTATGGTCAGGCTGCAGTACAAAAACTGCTCATCACACCAGCAATGCACATTTGTGACCCCAGTGGTTCATGTATGCAGTAAGGTTAGAAAATGTGTTTCTATAAACAATACCGTTTAAAATATCATTAATATATAATATATTTTGAAACTCACCTTACTGACAATTATGGGAAGAGCGTGGACAATGAAAAACAAAAATATCAGAAGAACTGTATAAGGTGCTAAATAAGACATATTCACAAATAAATTTTAATCTCACTGAAGGGTAATGTTTAATTGTCCATGCCCACCTCTTTTAGATCACAGTCTTTATGTGACAGGGAACACCTCAGTATTACAGTAGGTCAGGAAGAGGCCATATTGATTTCTGCCCACTCTGGGGAACCCCAATGTTTTCCTCACCTCCGTTTCTCTGAGCCTGGCTTCCAGCTCTGTCCGGGGGCCCTGGGTGTTGTCACTGATCTGTAGCCTCTCCTGGATAGCCTGCATCCAGGCCTGGGCACTCTCCAGGCTCTCTCCGAACTCATCCCACTCCTGCTGGGTCATGGCAATGCACACAAGAGCTTGTCAGGAGGCCCTGCTCTGTCAGTCAGCCTGGGAATCTGCAATGCAATCGATTGGAAACAATTGGTACTGTAATGATCATTGTCGCACAGCAGCCATATCACCCTGCAGCTCTCAACTCATTGGAGCCCAGCAGGGCTGAGCATGGTCAGTACCTGGATGGCTATGGTTGCTGCTGGAAGTGGTGTTAGTTGGACCAGCAGAGGGCACCAACCCTGTGGTCTGTGTGGGTCCCGATGCCCCCGAATAGTAGTGGGGACCTTATACTGTAGTGGGTGCCATCTTTCGGATGAGACTTTAAACCGAGGTCCTGACTCTCAGTGGTCATTAAAGATCCCCGGGCATTTCTTGATAAAAGTAGGGAGTTATCCCGGTGTCCGGGTCAAATTTCCCTCCTCGGCCTTTACCGTGACCTCCAAACTGTCCCCATGTGTGATTGTCTTCCACTTGCCCTGCGATGGACTGGCACCCTGTCCAGGGTGAACCCTGCCTTGCGCTCATTGCTTGCTGGGTAGGCTCCGGCATCCCATCACACCGTATGGTATAAAGCGGTTTGGCAAATGACATGACATGACATGATCATTGACATGATCAGCTATAACAAACAAACAGCTTTCTGGTTGACTTTACCAGGTCTTCATTGGTGTCTGTTATTTAGGAAAACTGCCTGAACACTCCGTAAATTTATTTAGAGGAATCCAAAGGGATTCAGAGAAATGCTCTCATAATACCTTTAATACTTAAAAGTTCTCTTAAATTGCCCCCCCCCCATGGATGAATGCAGTATGTTTAATTGAATTGAATTAAATACTGGGTTAAATTAAACCTAAAAATGTTCCTAATGCAGCAAGCTATACCACTATGGATTACTAATTTATGAATAAACAGTGTGGTTGTCAAAACACATATCAAATGTCACTAGGTACAATTATGTGACTTTTTACAAAAACGGGTTTATAGAGAGAGACATTTTTAGGTTTTATTCTATTTGGTTTAGTAGCAGATTATCTTTATTTTTGTGCCTGTTAGCTATTATATAGGATTCTGGTTGGTCAGGACATAAAGTAGGCCTTCGAGACGCCTTGTTTGTAAATAATGTAATTTGGATGTTGTATGTTTATGTTGTTTGTTGTTTAGTTTGTGTTGTGTAAATATTAATAAGTATTTGTTTAATCCAGTGTGTCTGATTTATTACTCTTTTCACGAAAGCTGTGCCAGAGAACTAAGAACTCAGGTGCCTCTAACTGGTAATGCCAGCCACTCAGAGATATTCTTGGCAAAATCTTGGTTTTTATTTTATTTACTGATTAGCATGCTCTGTCTATTCCTTGTATTCTCTATTTTCATAATGCCTATTTCCAACAGTATATTTTTCATTGTTATTTATACAAATTACTGTTGAACTGTATTATATCAAGGTTAAAGTCATCTGAAAAAAAAAGATCTAAAGGTATATGACACACTATAAGTGTTTATCCTAAGAATTACTTTAAAACTTAATAAGATGACTGCTAAAAGTCTATACTGTGACCAATAAACAGTTCTAGTCCTGCATTTGAACAAAAATGTAGCGTATACACAGTAGCACATACGCACATGGAGTGTTAAGATTTGGGTATACTCTCGACAAGAAGCTCAGGCTTTCCTAAGAAGCTGTTGTCAGTCACAAAAGAGTCCCTTTTATTCTATGCGGATGGAAACCACACATACGCTGGAACCTTGAGATGGTGTAGAGAGCACAGGCTGACCTGTAGCGATCCTATAACACATTATGGTTGTATAAGACTATGGTTGTATAATTGGTGGTCCCTTACCTGACACACTACAGTCTGGTGCACAACAGCACTTGTATGCACATGGTTACATGGGAGAAATAGCTACACCTGAAGCACAAAGCTGCTGTGGGATCTAGTTCCCAACAAGTCTTTTTTTTTTCTTTGGAAATAACACCTCAGGAAATCAATTAATAACACTACAGTGTCTTCTCTGGCAAAATGCACATGTAAAATGTAAAATCCCCATGTCTGATTTTGTAACTAGAAAGGATTAGTCATTAGGAAGGGTGTGTACAGCAGAAGGCTGGGCATGGCTGACTCCCTCTGGCTACAAAGCAAGCATGCAATATGGAAGATGGAAGGTAGTGTTTTGCAGAGCACATGTGAAGTCACAAAAAAACTGCCCAAAAAAACCCAACACCAAACACAATCCCAACTTTTTGTCTTAAAGAGAGATCTCTTCTTGCAATCACCTTAAGAAAGCCTGAGAACTTTCTTTTATCTTGTTGAGAAGAACTATGATAAGTGTTATATTGAAAAATGAAAACATTTCTGAAATAGTTCCCTAGCATTTCTGCAAGCCACAGAAGGGAGTGGAAAGATTAAAATCATCAGTTGTAAACTCCTGGGAAGGACAGGCTCACTGAGCCAACAGTGTGAAAAGAGCCTGAAGCAAAACTGCAAAAGCTTGAGTTTTTGTTTTAATTCTGAAATGCTGCATTAAGTAGGCCTTGTCTGTAAAACACTTAAATATCATTAACAAAACAGCTCTTTTCATCAGGAATGGGATTCAAATAGAAGGATTTTCTTTCCTTTGACGAACAGACATCTTCTCTCACAAAACTTGTAACACGTTTCCTGCGAATAATCACTTTTTTAAATCTGCCTTTTAGACCTTTAAATTAACAAACCACTGGTCTTGACTATGGAATAAAACACAATACATCTGAACTAACTAAAATAATAAATAAGTAAATTAAATTCTGAACTCAAAAGTTCATATTTATTGCTTTCCTGGAATCAAACTAGCATTCAGATACACTGAAGGATTGTCCTAAAGGACACTATTATTCTTAGTCTAAAGCAAGAAATAATATTAGCTAAAACAAAAAGAAATGAGCTAGGTGGGAAAAATGGCCTACTCCTGTTTGAAACCCTCCTTATGTTCTCAATGTGCATAGACATGTTTGCCTCACATACTAGATAACTATACAGGGAATTACTGCAAAATTCACATTTGCTTTCAACTGCCATCAGGTAAGTAGTTTTTATTCGGTTGAGCCAGATGGTTTCTTTTTTCTAAATTATTTGCATACACACCTATCCAAGGCTTAAGATACACAAAGCACTTTATCAAACTTCTTTGTCCCAACTAGGAATACTCATGCAGTTTTGTATTACAGATTATGGAATAATTTACTTATTGAAATGTCATGTATTCAGCAACCCACCTTCTTTCTCACAATATCTAGCAAACAAACCTATTCCTCTTCAGTCCATAACACATTCTGGTGAGTCATCTGATAACAAAAACATTTTGACTGTCTAGTCTACCTACATACCTTATGCTAAAGAAGTTCTCTCACATTTTTGTTTACTATTAGTGGCAATGTTTTTTACCGTAGCCTAACAATCTTTTGACTATAATTCTCAATGCTTAAACATCTTATTGGCAAATCAAAACATTAAAATACTGTAACAAACATGAGGCTATAAGAAAAAAAAAATCTAATACCAGGCCCTAATGCCAGCAAAAGCAATTAAGATTAACAGTAACTACACTTCCTTAAATCAGGGAATACCAAGTATCACATGGAATGTTTTTCTTTATAACACAGTAATAACTTGGCGGCAAGCTTAATATGGCAAATATTTATTTTCAACAATACACAAATACAGTACACATAGCATATATGGATATGTACAAAGCTGTGAGTTCCCAGAGCCCTGACTTCTTCAGGCCTAGAAAATACAGAGTTTCACCCGATATCAATATATAAAACATGTTAAGAGGGCAAAGAAAGCACCTGTGTCATATCAAACAAGGATCCTGCCTAGAAGTAAATCACTCTCTTAAGCCGACGCTAGATGAATTGGGACCTATTTCACTATTCTAAAAGAGTGCATCACAAACAAGGAAAAAACATGTTTTTGGAAATCATTTAGGAAATCATTTTATTCCAACAAAGTAAGACAGCAAGTCCCTTTCTTACTTTTCTGGGTTATCTTCCAGTGCTCAATGGACAGATTTTACTTCCTGATGCTGTTGAAGAAGGTGTTTCTCTTACAAGCCTTTGAGATGACTCTCCATTATTTGTCTGTTTACTGTGTGTTCTATTTATCTTGATATGAGGACCACTGTCTCCCATTCCAATAAAGACTGGCTTAATGACCTCACACAGAGTGCTCCCTTCAATATGGACAAGATGTTCCACTTTATTACTTTACCATTTAAAAGAGACAGACAAGGCCATTCTTAGAGGTCTTCTTTTAAAGGTAGTTCTATACAATTGCACTAATAAAAAATCATTAAGATTCAACTGCATCAAAACTCAAAACACCTCTACTTCAATCTCTGGGAAAAAAGATTTAAAAATGTATTAATAAATAAAAAAAATAAATAGCATCTATAAAACACACATTTAAAATTCTAAAGCCATCCACATTATGACATTTTATTAAAACTAATGCTTTTTTAAAACTTTATTAGAATAACTTTAACTCAACTGGATTAATGCTTAGAATCTTATTCTTTTTAAATGCATTATTTTTTTAAGTTTACAATTTGTTAATGAGTATGACAGCCATTCAGCTGCAACAAATAAAATATCAGCATTTGTTTCAACTGCAATTCCTAGACATGACTTACTGCAGCAGTGAAATAGATCTATGCCTAACAGTTCAATTACCCTTTATTTTTTTGTTGTTTTTAATCAGAGCCAGACAGCATTTTTTAAATCCAAATTACTCAAGTAAATACATATGAAATGCTACAAATTGAATTCCAATTTTAGTAGTGTGCCAGTTTTTGAACACAGTGAACATTTTCCTGTATGACTCATTCTAACCAGCCACAGTTTTTTTCCATGGTTGCTCGGCCAACTATCTTGGTTTTTACAAATGTTCTGCCAGTTTTGAACAAAGTAGTTCACTACTTAAAAACGTTTACATATCAAAAAAAAAAAAAACATTTACTGATACTTTCAAAACACCTACCTGAAGAAATCATTCTGATACGACGTCCTCTCTCATATGTACCATGCCATAATCAACATCAGAAAGCATGGCCATTAAGAAACAATTTTATAGCTGACTCAGGGGCTCACTTTATCCATTCATTTTTAATACCTCTGTATTGCTTTGTCCTGCTGTGTCACAGCCTAACCCAGCAGGAGACAAGGCAGGACCACTCCTGGACAGGATACCAGTCAATCACTGGGCATACAGACACACATCCTGGTAGCATTGTGAAGAGAGCAATGAACTGGCCAGCAAGCCTTTAAACTGCAGAACGAACCCGGAGCACTTAATTAAAACGCACAGTGCCAATTGTGGGGGAGAATATGCAAACTCATCTTGTGTTCCAAGCTGGAACTGAACCCAAACTAAGAGCAGGACTGACCTCCACGCCACAAGATGCTTACTTTTTGTCCCTATGAAATGCTGGATTCTGCTTTTAAAACCTGTCATATTCACCTTCTGAGTGTACCTGATGCAACGTTTAAAAAGTGTATTGGTATTGCAGTTTAAACATTTTATTATGAAACCTTACCAGCATACGGAGGTGCTGTGTAAACAGAACACGATAAAACTGCATGCTACAGTACGTTACTACAATGGCAGTTCTGCCCTTCAAAACGGTAAATCCAAATGTCAGACCCTTATAGACATAAATGGCATAAATAAATGAAAAACAAGATTGATCGATGAAAATAGAACTTAATCTATCCACTATAGTATTTTATGTGATGTCCACAGTACTTTAACTTAAACCTTGCCTATGCTGATGTAACGAGATTTTGAACGATCACTTGCCAAGAGAAAGTTCCTCTAGTCCCTCCCGGTCCTTGCTATCTGTTAGGACAGATGAAGGGATGTAAATACACAACTTCCTCGTTTTAGTTTTCGCTTTGCAAAATATTTTATAATTGCGGAAAACACATACCAGAAACGACGGGCTTTGTCGCAACAAAAGCACTTAACTGAGTTTAAATCTGAACGTTTCGGAGAACACAAATACCTCCCGGACTGCTTACAGTATGAATGGAAATTCAAGGAATGCACTGAACGTTTTAGCGCACGTTGTTTTAATTTGGAGTCTCATGCCCAACTGCTGCGTCTTTTTTAAAAATAAACTGGACCTCATATGACTATTCTCAGAGCAAGCAGATTGTCTTACCTTACTACCTGGACATCTATACTGCGCTATGATTGGTGTGTCGCAGACCGAAAATAATCCCCAGCGCAACGCGGTCGCTCTCGCCCACCCGAGAGCAAGGGCAGGAAGTGAGTGTCCTGCCCTGCTGAGCACAGACCCGGGTCTGAGCACAGCGCCACATTTCCAACAGCAGGCATGCCCAGTAGATCAAAGCACACCGCACTACTGTACTTCTGTCGTACAGACAAGATCAATACCCGCAGAGCAACCGATCGCCTTGCAGTGTAGTTGATTTTAGGACCGTGTTTCAAGTCCCAACAAAATGCAGGAACTGTAACATCGTGAGGTATAGTCTGGACCAAAAAGCGTTGCGTAGTTGTCCAAATATAGGGTTCATTAGTGGAAAAAAATGGATACTGTTTAAACTAGAGCTTAAATTTGCATTACATTGAATCCCTGTTGCTAAATTATCAGAAAGAGAGAAATATAATTTGAAAGCTGTAAGCCTTACCTTTGGCGCGAGATATATATATAAGAAGGGCTAACATCTACTTTCAAGCAATGAAATACATGCTGTACCAGATGTAAGCTATATAATGCTGTAAGTCAGATCCCAAAGTCTAGGACCCAGAAGCACACATTCAGCAACAGCACAGCTCAGGACAACCAGATGACATTAAAATTAAGAAGGTTTACAACCACTGGGAGGATAATAACCTGTGAACCGGAACAAAAACTCTGGAAAAAACTACAGTGAAATGAATAAACTAAGCAGTATAATTATAACTGATTAAATAATGCTTTAATTCCTTAAACTGGCCAAGGTAAAAAAAAAAAAAAGACTTTTATTCACAAATTTCAAAGATGACATAATATCAGCAAATACACAAACAAGAGATAGTAAATAAAATATCCCACAGCACCCATAGGTGATCAAAAAGATGAGAAACATGAAGGTCAATGTAGAGTCTCGGACTATGACCCTTCCGTGCCCAAAGCCCTCCTGTGAAACCACTGCTGGGGGCCAGTAACTCTCTGGTACTGGTGTGAAACTCAAGGCCAACCAACACGGGAGAAAGCTGTGAACAAAGACTTGCTGGAGAACATGACAAGATCACTGATGCACTATACAGTGCTGATGATACGTACAACACCATGGTCCTGTCGGGATGCAAGTTATTTATAGTGATTAGTATACCTCTGAGCTAATTAAGTGATTTCATACTGTCTGGGTGGTCACTCCTGTAGCCAATTCTGTGGCATTCAGGTACCTGAATTACCACTAGTTGTGACTGGACTCAGGCTTTGACACATGGACACCCACTATGAGGCAAATCCATCATGTCTGGTTTGTCTATTCTATTCTACAGCCAACTACAAAACACAAAGCCCTGAAATGTCTGGCTGAGTTCCTCATCAAGAGATTGATTTTAAATTCAACTGTATCATGATAAAAGGCTACATCAAAACTATCAATGCTACTAAACCTTCCCCGATGTCATCATTCTGATTTTTTCCACTAGCACTAGGAACAACCGTATCCACCTATTAACAAAAATAAAAAACCTTGTTAAACTTAACCTTGAAAACTTACAGAGGTGCAACTCATACAACTTCAGACTTAAGTTATTAAAATGAACATGTAAAGGTTTATTCTGTGCTGAAGAGACACCCGAAGAAGGCTCCACAGCCGAAACATTGCGTTTCTTTTCTCTTCAGGACAGAATAAACCTTCACATGTTCCTTGCAGCCTACGCATGCTGAGGCAGCTACCTATCGGAACAACTTTAATTAGTTTAACAAGACCTAATATGGGTCTTTTCAAGATTCACAGAATACAGGCTTATCTTAAGAATGATTCTAGTTTTGGTTCCATGTGCAAATACACCATGCAAACCAAGAGATTCGAGTAACAGATTACAACAGAGATAGACAACATGCTTGCAAATGATTTCACGTACAGCCAATGAATATTGGTTGTAAACTTCAGTCATGTGAAAATTGATATGCATGCATCTTAAATATGTTGTGATACAGTACATTTTTGCAAATCTTTCCTGATGTACTTCACAAACCAAATCCCATGTGTCCTTCGATCTAAAGGCGTCCAACACACAGTGTCACTTTGGAGATGTCTTTATCTTCCTGTTAAAATAAAAGAGGTTGAAATTAATTTGTATGACAACTCTTAGACATCATGTATTATCCTTTACATAAAGGACTCATGATTATTATACTAAATTATCATGAGTCCTTAATTTAATGTAACTTTACCTCTAGTATGGAATTAAACTAAACCATTCACAGCAATTCCTTTTCCTAACCTTCACTGCACAAGACTGCAGACACAAGGGGTTTGACAGTTTTATAGCAGCTTTGAGTATCTGGTAGAAAGAGCTCGCTTCACCGAACAATATCAAGCTGCAGCTGTCTTTGCTCTGCCTGTCTGCAGATCGATGACAGAACTGGACTATCCGCCATCTCCGTGGAAACAGGGCTCGAGTGTAGGGAGAACATCGCACGTGGGGCTGCGAGTCTCGAGCAGTCACGCCTTAGCTTCTCCCACTGCTATCCGCCATCCTGACAAGCCCCAGGCTCAGACTCCAGGGGCACCAGCAGGACGGCAGGGGAACCGGGGCAGCACACCACCAGGCCCACAGCAGCCCTTCACACACCCACCTGCATGCCGTCCGGCTCAGCCTCACGGGTCAACCGCAACGAGCCCGCAGAGGCGCGTGCGAGAACACACCGCGGCCTCGGGGTCCAGCTCCACTGCACACCACCTGTGGACCAAAGGGAGACCAGCTGATCCCGCTCATGTCATAAGTGGCATGTGTGTCCAGTCCGTCAGAAGACAGCGTTCTGCTGGTGTCTGGTTAAGCCTATGTATCTTAGAGCCATGCCGAGACTGTAGTTGTCCACAGCTTTGCTGTTAACTGGAATAAATCACTGGTTCAGTGTCCAGGACGCTCGACTCACGACGGGTTATAACTGGAACACAAGAGTTAGATTGAGTAGCCGTCAGAAACCGTTCCAGAATTCATTAAAAAAAAACGATAAGAGCGCCATCTTTAAAATGCCCCTGCGTTTTTAAGCATAAACCAACATTTTATCCACCTTTGACTCTTACCAGACCTAGTAGTTTAGTACAGCAATTCACACTATCTACGGAACCAGTTAGTTAAACGCTGTCTTTAACTTGTTGCAACTGACTGCGGTAAAAGCTCAGTAAATGCATATAAATGTAATCAATACCAGTTCTGATTACAAGCAAAACATATTACACACTTAAACCCTAGTCGGATTATACGACTAAGAAGCTAATCTTAAATATCCAAAAGACGTTAATTTTAGAGTTCGCATCATTCGACATAACCAATTCACAAACAAAGCACATTGCATTCTAACGAAAGTCAATCCGGCACCGCAATGCAACAGCAGTATGAAACTCGAAGCTCCCGGACTCCTCTCCCCAACAACACACGCGCACAACCCCTGCAGGAGCACGCGGAAGTGACCCCGCAGCCCCTGAGGTTTAACCGCGATTACCGGAAGCGCTTTTGCGAGTTTTCAGTCTTGGATTTTAGTTTCTAAATTAAAAAAAATCATTGCAAGATTAAACATTATTAAATATCGTTAAACCCAATACATTTGGGAAAATAACCGGTCACAGTTAATTCGCACATATCAGGATTTTCTTAACTAAGGAAACTTCAGCCCTGATTGATCGCAGGCACAGCGAATCAGGACGCGGGGAGTCCGGCGGCAGCCAATCAGCGCCCGGCGCTGCGGCGGACCCTCCCTGCGTGACCTGCGTAGCTCTGCTCTGCGGGAGGCTTGTTGTTATAAAATAGGGAGGTGCGGGCTGCCGGTTGTTAATTAGTGAATCTGGTGTGATTGTCTATCCCAGGGGGAAGCCACAGGTACGAAGCAGAGTCCGTCCCCTCGACAATGAACAGTCTCGTTCGGTTGTCCGGCAGGTGTCTGCGGCGGCTGGCCCCGGTCCCAGCCCTGCCCCGGCGCCTGTGCACCCAGGCGGGGAACGTGGAGCTGGGCGAGCTGGTGAAGAAGGACAAGGTGGTGGTGTTCATGAAGGGCACCCCGGCGCAGCCCATGTGCGGCTTTAGCAATGCGGTGGTCCAGATTCTGCGGATGCACGGCGTGGACGAGTATGCCTCTTACAACGTGTTGGAGGACCAAGACCTGAGACAAGGTCAGCAGCTGCTTCAGTCGCAGGCAGTGCGAGTCGGAGCACGACCCTTAGAGATGTTGTGGGTGCCGGTGTTGCTGGAAAACAACGTACAGATGTCTGGCTGTATGCATTGTGAAGTTCCACTGAGCTTTTCCAAATACGGTCTTTGACGGCTTTGTCATATTAATTTAAAAATGGTTCAGGTTACATTGAGGCGAAGCAGCCATTAATGGAAAACTTTATCAGTCAGGACAGCTCTGTCCATGAATCTTCAGACTCTCCTCCGTTCTTATCACTGAGGGACAGCTTGGAGAACAGGGCAGGTCCCTAACTCCTTATGAGATAAACGGCGTTTTGTCTCTGCAAGTAATGGTCATGGACGTCTGCTTTCTAAGCTTCTGTTGGTGTGTAACTAACAATCCTGACTTTCGGCGAATGTGCAGCGATCTAAGTGGTGATCCTAGCCCAGTAATTCTAAGCTTTTGAGGTTAACTTTTTAACCCAAAGTAATATGTTGTTGTTTTCCCACAGTGGCTGGTATTTCAGTTTTGAAACGACTCGGGTTTGCTCTCGTTAAAACATTAATTAGATGAGAAGTTATCAGTATGCATGGGAACTATTACTGTTAAAAACACACAGTGTTTACATTTTTGTATTAAACACTGAACGCCTGTCTGTAAGGGACACTGCTGAGTGTACCCATTCTATAGCAGTGTAACCTGTGCCTAGAACTGAGGTCAGGCTTACAGCACGGGGCACATAGTAACAGCCTCAATCTGTAGCCAAGGCAACTAAGCTAAGTGATGGTAGACAGCAGTTTTGTTTTGTCAGTAATGAAACCTTAATTTTGACTTTCATTTTTAATGAGCTAAACTGGTTGAGGTAATTCTATGCAGTGTCTTGTATATTTACACATAAATAAATACATATGAAAATTGTCCGAAAGCATTCTATGCTTTGAGAAAAGATTCCTATAGAAGTGGTATTTCTGAATGAATAGTCCTTGTATGGCTAATCAGTTGCCTATAACTTTCTTTATGATAAAAAAAAAACATGTTATGAACATTATTATTAGTTTTTTGCAAAGCAATTTATGTTTGTACTTATTTGCACAGCTGTGCTGCTTACAGGTTGGTGACTCAGTGTTGTTGGCTTTAACTTGCTGTGTGGTTGCTGTTATTCCAAATCTCACCTCCTCTCTGTGCCTGTGCTCTGGCAGGAGTCAAAAGCTTCTCGAACTGGCCCACGATCCCCCAGGTGTTCTTCAACGGCGAGTTTGTGGGCGGCTGTGACATCCTGCTCCAGATGCACCAGAATGGGGACCTTGTGGAAGAGCTTCAGAAACTGGGGATCCGATCAGCTCTACTAGATTCAGAGAAAGATGAAAATAAAAAGTAGCTCTAGAGATATGGGCTGGGCTGGTATTGTTCCCAACACTGCTTTCCTCTGAATAGTGAGATGGATGTGCTTATGTCTTGAAAAGCATTTTGTTTTCAGTAAGTAATGTCAAGTTACCAAAGTGCTATATATGAACAATCATACTAAAAAGCAGGTATCCTGCACCTGATTTTCTACTACATACTTCTTACTATTTTAGAAATACTGGTTCATAAAATAAAATAAAGAATATATCTCATTATGAAATATATTTCAAAAGAAAATAGTGTAAAGAATTAAACCCTTTATATATATAAATAAAGATTTTAATGCATTTTTGCTTTGCAAGTAGTATCCTCGATTATGTTGGTACTTTAAACTCAGATGTAGAAACTGGAAACTTGGATTTTTGGTTCTGAAATTGAACGTACATTAAAATAAGTGAGTTTTTTTTTTGGTAAATGTAGTCTCATGTAAGGATAACAAAAAAATAAAGCAGCACAGTGTGCAAGATGTAAGGACTAGTTTAAAACTTATAGTGACTGAGAAAAATGAGAATTCTGTAAGTTAAGAAAGGTGAAGTAAAATAAAATTAGATTTTGCTTTCAAATAAGGTTTAAATCTGTTATGCTTGATAAAACAGTACTATAAGAAATACTGTTTTTAAAGATGTACTATTTGTCCTCTACAGGATTGTCCATAATAGTCAAGAAAACTAATCTTGCAGGTAAGAGTACTGCAAGTGTAGATGTAGACAGATTACCAAGAGTGAACAGAAATAGACCCATGTTTCCAGAAATCTGATGGTACTCTACTGGGGCACCTGCTTGGGAGAGATAATATACAACATATAGTGTAGTACAGTATAGTGTATGTCCTGAGACATCTGATATTTGTAGCATTTAAATGAGTGAGGTACGAAGAACCATTTAAAAAATGTGGAAAAAATAAGAGAATACACACGCTGATCAGTGGGGAAACTGTTTTACCTGGTAACTAAAAAAAATTGAAACATCTGTTTAGTTTAAGCATGTGTAGTACATTTGTTTAATTCTACTGAATCTTGTTGACAATAGGTACACATGACAGGCTGGGAAATTCAAGTGTTTCCTGAGGCGGGGGTTCCCAGTCCTCGTCCTGGTGGAATGGCCACCTGGTGCTCATTCCAGCTGAACTGAATTTCCCAACTGAAACATTAATTGAGCCAAAAAGTTGTCTGATTGGAACATTTTCCAATGTTCTTCTAGTCAAAAGTTTGGAGTTTTATTAAATGCAGTAGAAGACAACCTCCACCATGTTTATAGAGCTGAAAACACTCACACACCTCCAACTTAGTCATTATTAATTCAGTTAATGATTCAATAGTGTAACTGGGAGCTCAGCTGGAACAGAATCCAGCAGGCGTGTGGGGCTGTGGGGCACAGGATGTTCTCTGGTGGGTCTCAGCGGAGGTTGAGGGAAAAGGGAGTTTTTGCCTGAGAGCATGGCTGTTGCCCTGTTTTCTTCTCCACCTGACCTGCTGTGTGGTGCAGTCTGGCCAGGTGCGCTTCAGCGGCGGATAGAGCAAGACCCCTCCTATACTGTTTGTGAAGCAGCGAAGGAACATGTTCTGGATAATTCTAGAGTCGGCAAAGTCTAATTTTAAGGCACATATCTTCATATGTATTTATTGTGAGAGTCTGGAAAACTTAAACTGTAGCATTTTAAACTAAAAAATTTGCATATTCTTCAACAGCAGTGAAAGGATTCATTGAGCAAACCAGTGGGGAGGCACGGAGTTGCTTTGTAATGAGTTAGTTTTCCATGGGTAGGGATGTCAATGAAAATGGGCAGCAGCCATATCACTCTGCAGCTCACAACTGGCAGCCCACTGAAGCTAAGGAGGTGTGAGCCTGGTCAGTACCTGGATGGGAGACCTGGAAAAACTAAGGTTGCTGCTAGAAGAAGAAGGGGTCAGTAGAGGGTGCTCACCCTGCAGTCTGTGTGGGTCCTAATGCCCCAGTATAGTGAAAGGGACACAACACTGTATAAAGGTGCTGACCTTTGGATGAGCCATAATCTCTGTGGTCATTAAAAATCCCAGTGTTTCTTGAAAAGAGTATGGGTGTAACTCTGGTGTCCTTCCCAAATTTCCCATTGTATAGCAAGTATAATAATAATTATTAAAAGGTAACTTGCTAAAGGTTTTATAAGGGAGTTGATATAAACCATTTGGGGAAAACTGGATTGCAAAGGTCAAATTGTCCACACTTCAGAACTGACACTTTTTGCACTGTGGTTGCCTTAAAGGGGAACAGTATTTTTACATTTTGGGGTTATAAAGAATCAGCATTGATGAGTGCATTTTAAACTAATGTAAAACCTCCAATTTGCGTCCTAAAATAGACTAAATTTCCGGGTTTGTGCAGCTCCATCTTGCCATCATTGAGACTCAGAACGAAAAAACAAAACTGGTGACGTGAAAACGGCCCTAATTACATTGTAAACAAGCTGGCTTGTGAATACATCTTTTTTAATCCAATAGAAATACAGCTATTAGTGGTACAACACAGTGCTACACACAAGTTAAAACACATCTTAACTTAGGTCTTCTTGAGAGAGTCATACTGAACTGGTTTGAACTGGATTGGAAGAATGCTGAACACAAGGACTACTATGTAATTCTATACTGTTATATAGGAATGCATGCTACGAACCTAAGTAACCAATTGTGTTAAAAGAAGAGGAAGATGTGTGTGATTTTGGAACACTGCCAATCTGCTAAGCACAGGGAAGGGTGATAGCAGAAACATATTCAAGAATGGAAGATTTTTTCCATTTTTTCTCTCAAGCACTGAGATCACCCTCTTGCTGCATTCTCTTTCCATCCATTGGTATTTATGGGTAAAAATGGTAGGAATAGCATTTAGTTTGAGAACACGTTTTGGTTCAGTAAATAAAATGAAAATGTATTTTATTTTCCGAACTGTCATGTTTCGTAATCATCTTAACTCCAAAGCAGAGAAAATTTCAGTGCACGTCCTATCCCTAATTGACAATATTTGAAAAACAATCGTTTTCTGTTGCAATAAAGCACATGCTTTTGACCAAGCGAATTTTTCTGCTGTACTAATTTATATATAATGTTATGAAACGGACACATACAAGATGACGTGTTTAGATACTTTAACTAGGCTGCTGATTGAATGAGTGAATTGAACAGTACTTTCAGACAGTTGACAGTTCCAAATTTCACAATTTTGTTCTTTATTCATAATTTGCTAAATTTGGTGATCTTGTCAACTAATTTATTTTGTTACCTAGACTTAATAACTGGTCTGAGGTCATGGGGCTCAAAAGACCTTTAGCTATACAATCATTATAGAGCCTAGACAGTTTTATGTCCACATTTTTGGCATTTTATAGATGCCTTTAATAGTTACATGTCAAAGTGTGATTTTAATTAAATGACTGAGACGTGATTTAAAAATGACACTGTTTTGGTTTGTTGTGCTCTGGCATAATAAAAATTCTAGTTTCTCAGGCTGTACTGATGTTAAGATAAGATGATTTACTATGAGTAGTGAATACAAACACTAGAGGGCAGTAGTAGTTCATTCCCAATACTGAACTGAGCCACAGTCTGAACCATTGCTTGTTAAAACTGTACATCTCCCTCCTGACATGAATGACAGAAAAATATCAGCTTCAATCACTACACTAGTTCTGGGGAGAGGTTGCTAGGGGGACACTCCTGGCTGCCAGTGGAGGCTTGTGTGTTGTGTTCATCTGGCACAGTTCAGCTCTACAGATGGACTGAGCTATATTGGCTCATTGGCGTGTTTGGTCTCATTGGCCAGGTTTATTCCATAGCTCAGCTTACTGAGCTCCAGCACAGACACGTTTTAGATAAATATGTGATGCACAATTTAAAGTTGCAAATCTTATTTTTGAATATATTTATTAAAAGCATTACTTTTCTGCTTTTTCGGTATTATACCACAGAAGACTTTGATGCCAGGGATGAGGCTCAGTCAGCTTTGTGGAACACATTTTTGATTTACCCAAGTCCTTCCCAAGAATAATCAGTGGCATGAACATTGAAATATCTTCAACAAAACCGATCTGTTTAAGTGGTTGAGTCTGCATTATTAAGCAGATTTTGTAATTAGTTATTACACAGCACACAGCTGTGAGACAAGAGTGTGCTATGTGGTTCATGAAATAATGATACTCTTTCGCAGTTAGCAGCTTTAGTCAACTCCTCTATTTTTAATTGTTCCTTTTCCTTCTCTGTCCTCCTATTTTCTTAAGCAACATTTTGTTGCTTTAGAACAGTGTTTTATTTAGACTGATACAAAAGCTATCTGCAATGATGTTACCTCTGAAGCAATTATTGCAAAAGCTAAATTGTCATTTCAACTCATCTTTTACCAGCTTTTCTTTTGGAAAGTTAGTAGACCGAGAGATCTAAGAAGTGCAGTCTGATTCTCACACTTTTTTCATTCATTGTTGGAGTACTTTGCCTGTCTCAGTCTAGATTCAATACAGTACCTCTATAGCAGGCAAGAATCAAGGATGAGACAATGTGCATGCTGTTTAATCTTATAATGATGCCCTTATTTCTATTCCCTTTATTCAGAGGTATGGGATTGAGCAAATAGCTTTCTGAGTAGAAAGTCTGAAGACCAAGATAAAGTTAAGCTAAGCCTTTACGAACCCGTCATTCTTCATTAGATTGTGCAATTGATTCTTGAGAAAGATCCATTTTGTGTCCTGAATGAGCAAGTCATGCATAGCATGTAAAGTTCTTCTGTTTAAACACTGGATGGTGCTGTAAATCTAATCAAGTAGAATGCAGAGATTGCCATTTCTACAACAGTAGAATTTTAATTTATCATTTTTAGATCTGTATAGAGCAAATAAAAGATGAAGGGATGGATTTGATGGATTTGATATGATAGAGATTTCATTGATATATTCCCTCAAGAAATATCTTGTTATGAATTTCAAGATTTTGTGCTTAATTCTAATCTGTAATAAAACAGC